CCAACATGCGTCCTTACATTTGCACAAATACGCGAAAAAAAAAAACTATAAAGGACTGCTGTTTTTTTAGTTCAGCATTCTGACAGTATCGGCGATGCTGGGGGTTAGTGGCACTCATTAACTTTTTGCCATGGAATCATCGGGCAAGAGGACGTGACGTATGTGCACTACCTGACCTAATGATTTTCCCTTGCGTTAATACGTTTTGATTGCGGCCGACGCGGGTATCTTTTTAGTTTTATGCTCTAGCAGCCTCGGCAGTGCTGGATTTTAATGGCGCCTGATAACCTTCGAAATGCGATCGTCAACCGGAGGATATACGTATGTTCATTTCCAGGCTTAGCACCCTTTGCACGTTGCCCGGTCAAAGGCATACCAACACCTTGCGTCATGTTCGTTTTCAATGCCTTAATTTCCCGGTTCATTTTCTTACTCTGTTTTTATGCGTTTTTGCTTACATGCAAATGCAAGAACGCATATTGCGACGGCACGGTGTGTGTGTGTGTGTGTGCGCTTCTATCCGGATATTTCCACTCGGCACCCAAGCAAGCTCCGGCGCCAAAATTTTGCCGGTGGGTCTTCGGCCAAGTGCCACCCCAGGACCATGATGCTTACCCTCACGCAAGTCTGGGCCCCGAGTAAGAGGGGGTGAAAGTTTTGGCGGGAAAATCGCTAATTCGGGAATCAGAAAAGCTAAAAAGCTGAAATTTTGAGGTTATGTGCCCCGTCTCCATAGGACTCAAAGATTTCAGATCCAGCCCCCAGACATGCGTGGTCCCGCGTATGTCCCCGTGAGGGTTCCTGGCGCGAAAATCGCCAACTCGGAAACCAGGAGAGCTGAGGAGCTGAAGTTTCCAGGGAATATTCCCAGCACATGTGCAACTTCAATTTAACAAAATCAGCCCTCAGGCGTCCGTTGTTGTCACGTACGACCCCGTGAATTTTTTCGGCGCGAGAATGGCTAACTCGGGAACCAGAAAAGCCCGGAGGCTGAAATTTTCAGGGAATGTTCCCAGCACAAGTGCAACTTAAAAATATCAAATTCAGCCCCCCGGGCATAAGTGGTTGTCACGTGCGGTCTCGTGAATGTTTTTGGCAGGGAAATTGCTAACTCAAGAAGAAAATTTGGAAAGCTGAAATATCAGCGAAATGTCCCCTGTCCAAATACCGCGTAGGCAATTAACTTCCCAGACTTCGAGGACCAGTATATCATACATTTCTAGCTGCTGGGCTTCCGAGCGATCTCATTACGGCAAGAAATATTGCAAAAGTGCTTGATCGCACGGGCCCGCCCGGTGCGCTTCGTTAGTGATTAATTTCCTGCACCATATCGTTCATTTTACAGTCATCCATCGTAATGAGTTCATTTACAGTATTCTTTAAAAATGATTCAGCTGTTTGTTGCTTTTCAGACTACTTCAGTCTGCGTTCAGCTGTGCCCAACATTATTCAAATATTTTTTCATTATTGACCAATAATTTATACTCCTTTTTGCGTCTCGGCTCTTGCAAATATTAGGCGAAAATGTAATCGTCCTGCTGCAGCAACTACGAAATTCATTGAGACTTTAGAAACAATCCATATGTCCCTGCAAATGTAACCGAGCAAGCAAATGAAGCGGTGAATTTTTCAGATTTTTCACATTACTGTTCTGGTTCAGTAGAACAACATTTAGTTCTAGTTGCCGATATTTGTGTCTAAAGCTACGTGCGAACTAAGCAGAACGGTAGTAGCACATTTTTGACTTGGCCACTGATAAGCAGAAGATCCGACCGATTCGTATCGTGAATGCTTTTGATGAAAGCAGGCTTAGTAGGAGACTAATGCCTCATTTCCCAAGTGTCATCATTACAAAATAATATAGCAGTAGTTCTCTTGTGTACTTTTCGAGTCATTAAAGCGTCACTGCCTTCCTCCAACAGTTCGGTCCTTGCGGCTCCGTTCAGCTTACTTCTAATATATTCGCAAACGGCATACTACCCACGGTGCTGTTGTTCTCTTTTATTGTTCCTCTCCAGTGGCGCTTTTGTACCAACCGTCAAAGTCCAGGTACACTCGTCTGGCGTAGCACAGTTGAACAACGTTCTCAAGGAGCCACGGTCTCGTCTTTTTCCGTCATGATCGATTGGATTTGCTTGACTTTTTTCCTCTATTTTTTCCTCGTCGATTTCTCTCGTCTTCTGCGTTGACTCGCTGTGTGCGGTTATGCTTCTTGCCACCGCTGAGAAATATACCGTAATCAAGTTTGGACCTAGAATGCAGAGTGACAACCTTGCGAATACACTACGGGCCAACCAAGATGCAGTATATTTTATTATGCGTGTTGTGCTGCAGCAGTTGCACGAAACGGGTATTGTCGAGACTCTGTCTTCTGTCTGTGTGTTCCGAGTGCATTTTATCCGACGCTTTCAACTTAGGATCAGAAAAGCTGGGAAGTTGAGATTTTAAGGGAAATTTCCTATCCGCATGTGATCTTGCAAACTCAACATCAGTACCCACGTACACCTGCATTTCACGTGCGGTTACGTGAAAGTTTTGGCGCCTAAATTAATAATTCGAAAAACACAAAAACAAGATGAAATTTTATGACAGTGTTCCTTGCCTGCATATGACTCCGTAGAGTTAAATTCAGCTCCTTAACTTTTCTGGTTTTCGAATTAGTAATTTTCGGGTCAATACTTCCACGTGTTTGTGCGCCTTGGTCTCGCGCACGGCCACGTGAAAGTCTTGGCGCGAAAATTATTAACTCAAAAGCCAAAAAAAGCTAAGAAGCCGAAATTTTGAGAGAGTGTACCCCGTTCACGTAAAAACCCGCAACGTTAAAATCAGAATCCACATGCACCTCGGTCTCATGTACGCGCATGAAAGTGCTAGCACGAAAATTATTGATTCGGAAGTTGAAATTTTAATTTCATAATGCTCCCTGCCCGCCTATAAATTTGTCTCCGCGCGCCTAGGTCTCACTTGCAGAAACATGTAAATTTTCGCACCAAAATCTCTAACTCGGAAACCACAAAAATTTCTGTACTTATCAAATATTGCAGTGAACAATTTTAACAGCAAGTTTTCCCTAGGCAGTGTAAAGCATTCGCTGGACAGGGTTGCACGAAATGCGAGATCGCTCTAGCTACTGTAGTGCGCGCTGCTATTTTTAATTCTCGCTTCTCTTGCATTCCAAGTTGTTCTCCAGTCTGCTCTTATCTGAAGCTGAGTTCCACTAATAAACAGCTTATCCAATTTTGTTATTAGCCTTTCACTTCGATCGCTCTATTGCCAGCGGCACATCCGCCAGTATACCTTCAGCTTGCTCTGTCGCCTGAGTTTTGCGTTGTTATCAATTGACAGTCTTGGCTAATTTTATAAAGTATGCAAATTCGTGACTCGTCAACTTAACAAAAGAATAATGCGAAAAAAATTTCTTGCTGGTAGGTCAGTTTCTGCTCCTCGCTAGCTCGCCAGAGCTCCTCTGCTCTTCGCTCAAGCCAAGCAAAGTATTTCTTTCATCTTTCCAAAATGCAATGATTTCTGTTGTTTATTGCTATGGCTTGTAAATGTTGACGGCATCGCGGGATGTTCTTTCGAATTTTTTATGGAGAATATTCATCCTTTGTTAGTGACCAAGGTGCATGTAAAGATACTGAGTTCTAGTTGCATATCGGCGAATTTCGCTAAGATTTTTTGTAGTCCCTTGCTACCAATCTGCAAGCTCGCCCGCGTAAACATTTCTCAGTGTTTTGAAAAACTGGGCAGTTGTGTCTTTTTGGTTAGAAATTTTTGACTTTTTTACTAATCAGTTGCACTGACTGCGGGTTTTTGCGCGTTTTCGCATACATGCAAATTGCAAAAACGCATATTGGGAAGAGACTGCGTGCGTGTGTGTGTTTGTGTGTGTGCGTGTGTGTCTGTGTGTTCGCATTTAAAAATTTCAAATTCAGCTTTCCAGACACGTTGAGCACCCACGTGCGGGCATGTGAAGGTTTTGGCAGGAAAATCGCTGATTCGGTAACCAGAAAAGCTGGAAGCTGAAATTTTGAGGCAATGTTCCTTGTCCAAGTACAATTTAAGTATTTCAAATTCAGCCTTGAGGTATGCGTGTTTCTTACGTACGAGCACTTTAAAATCTTGACGAAAAAAATTCCCACTGTTAAATGAAAATTGTACGTTTACTTTGCAAAATTTATGGTGATTTGTGCTAGTGACCGCAAAAGGTCGGTGTGTAACAGCAGCCGTTCATACAGTTAATGATCTGAGTAATTCAAGTCCGGTGCAAAAACGCATGATCGCACGGGCCTCCCGGTGCGTTCCAGTCTGGGTTCTGAAGGAAAAATGGCAATTTGCTGATTACAGTAGACTCCTATTTGGCCAAAAAGAGCGAGAGAAGGGACTTATAATCTTAGTAGTTCACTGTGATTTATAAAGTGAAGTACCTGGCTGCTGAGAAAGCACTGCGCTGCATCTTTGTGCAGCTAAGTGTGATTTGCTTTATGTTTATAACTGTTAGACTAGCGGCTAATAATGAAAAAAAAAATGACGCTACTAGGTCAAATAGCCTAGTTTGATAGCTGCAGTTATATAAATGAATCTCATTAAAACCAAGAGGAATGGGCAAAGCGTTCCTCGGGTGAAAAACTATGTCTTGCCGGTAGGAGTTGTTGGTTACACTGGTTCAGCAATACATTAGTTAATCTTTCTCGCCAGTAAGATACAAATCAGTAACCTCATTGACATCCTATTTCGAACCATTACCAATCTTCAACAAAACAGACGAAGCTCATTCAGATTATCTCGCTCTGCCAACAGCATTAGTCAAGAGCGACACCGTTGTATGTCAGAAAGCAACTAATTGATCTCAGCAAGTACACATGCCCACTGTAGCTGGAGAAATCACAGCTATGAACTGCACAATGACAAAGTTGTGAGATGCGTTAACTCCATTCAGCTAAACTGTTGATCGCCACCGAAACTGTGATCCTTAGCATCCTTCAAATTGATTATTTCAGATGTATCTTATCGACATCGGGCAAACTGAACTTGTTGATGAGCGATCGGTCTATTATCTGCCTTCGGAACTGCGAAAATTGCCTCCGATGGCGGTACCCCTTGTGTTAGCAAATTGCCGGATGGGTCACAAGGCGCTTTTTGCTTGTAAACTGGATCATTTCTCGACACTCATGTCCGGCTCACAATGTGTATTTACGCTCTGCTCAAGCTTCAATGGTCTTACTTAGTTTTTTGGAATAATTAGTTTTTAGCTACTTTCTGTACTTCATTTTATTATATAACATGTGAAGTTGAACTAACATATAACGCTATAATGCGTTTATTTTTTTTTTTTTTTTTTTTACGGTGCGCTTAATGTATAATGCATTTATTTTAATTAATTATGGAGAAAATTTTCACTGCAGGTCAGCCACTGTCATTATCAAGGGATGGTTATTATCCGACATCAATGAGTACTGTGTTTCCTCCTTTGCTTCTAGCTCGTGTATTCCACGAAACAACAAAAAATGATGAAATATTCTGCACATGGGTAAGCGTCTTCACTTTCATGCTTAAAAAAAAGTCAAATGCAAAAGAAATATGTAAAGCTCAGTTAATGAACATCATTTGCAACGAACTCCTTAATCACAAGAATCGCGCAGCATCCGTATGAAGTCCTGCATTTTTATTGAGGTAGGACCGTACAAGTCCATCCTGCTCTGTCCGCCTATTTCTTTTCACTCTGTAACGTGCGGCGCATCGATGTTTGCCGACCAATCGACAGTAACCATCGACATATCTTCTAGGGCATGCCGGAAGATATTTCGCTCAACAGTACATCATATGTGCTGTACTCTCCAACGAAATTTTCATTCCGTGCATACGCGTTGGAAAACAAACCACCCGAAGTTCTCAGAGTGCGTGTGACGCAAAAAATTATTGACGGTCACTATTGGCTTCGTGATGAGTCGCTTTGCTTATTGATCGACAAGGTTTTTTTGAACTTTCGTTCTTTCTTATTCAAGTTTAAGTGTGATTACAAGCCGTAAGTGAAAAAAAAGATACCTCATCTTGAGGAAGTGGCAACCAGTACCGCATACAGAATTACTGGTGCAATTATGCATTCTTGCGATCAGCTAAACTCACTGTCTATTTGATGAATGTGAATTTTTGTTTCAGGATTTTTTTTTTTAATGATTGTAATAGAATAGAATTTTTCAGTTTGAGATTCGAAGATATTTGGTTCTCTAAGACAAAGAAATGGTTAAAGATCAGAGTACAAAATGTCTGAAATTTTTAGCTCGCCTCTTTGCAAAATGGAGAAACTGCAATTTCAAACCTTTGCACGTCCATACACTGGTGAGAAGCAGGCGTACACTAACGATGAATTTAGTTTTTAGGGATCGCACACGGATAAGAAACAACCTAAAATTTCAGCTTTATAGCTTTGCGTTTCCGACTTAGGAAATTTTACGCGAGATTTTTCTTACATATCTCTACACAAGATTTAAATTATCTTGGCAACTATTAAAACTTGGCTCGGTCGGATCTGGAGACGACCTGCGATAACTGGGGAAGCGGGATAGGGAGAGGGGAGGGGGGGAGGCAGGAGGGCGAGGGTAGCGTTTGAGCCTTGAGGGCCGTAGTGTGAAGGAAGGGACAGGGGAAAGGGCTAAAATTTTGATTGGAGGGAGGGATCGAGAACAAAGTCAGGGTTTACGGAAGGGATACCTCCACAGTTTTTTAATGCTCAGCGTGAAACTTAGTGCTGAGGGAAATTAGCAGTCTTGAACGAAGCATCTGAAACGTTGCTTTGGCAAAAAAAGGCCAGTACTACGATTTTCGCCATTTGAGTTCGCGTCCAATAATAAGTGTATATTGAGCTACCATCTTTTCTTCGGCACTGAGTTTCATGCTGAGCATTAAATAACCCATAAGGTGCCCCTCTCCCTTAGGCTTCGCCTCCGCTTCTAATTTCTACCCCCAACGAAGATCTTTCCAGTCAATAACTTCACCTCTTCTCCTCCTCCTCTCTTGCAACTCCTAGGGCCTAAACAATTACCCCCAATTTTCAACTCCTTCCCGCTCCCCCTCCATTCTTTGCAACTCGCCTTTCAACCTGGTTGAGCCAAGTTTTAGCACTTGCCGTTCTTTAGCAGCACATGGGCAGGAAACATCCTCCTAAAGTTTTAGCTTCCTAGCATTCCAGTTCTCGAGTTTGAAAAATTTCCATTGGAATTTTCACGTGCCCGCACGTGAGTCCCAGGCTTGCGTAGAATCTAAATGTGAAAATCCAGACTCACAAGCAAATGTGAAACATCCCTCTAAAATTTCACTTTTCTGTTTTAGTCGGTTTCCCAACTTGGAAATTTGTCAGCAATTTCCCAACCGAAGTTTCACGTGTTTGTACGTGTGCTTTTGGCGTAATTAGAAACTGAATTTGAAATTTTCGGATCGCATATGGACAAAGAGTGTCACTCCATAATTCCTAGTTCCTAGCTTTTCTGGTTCCCGAGTTAGTAGCTTTCCCCTGCAGTGCTTGTAAATTAGACGCAAATTACGTAGGCAGTTACCAAAACTTGGCTCAGTTCGACTCGGCTGGCGCCATATACGTGTCGCAAAAATTTTTTCTTGCTAATAGCGGGTAAGATTGCCTCACGGTGAGTGGCGGGAATTTGAATGTGGTAGGTGGAAAAGGAGGGGGTGTGTAGCAGGTTTCGTGCGAGGTAGGGGAGGAAGACTGGGGCGTGTGGATTTAGTGGCTTCATGGTGTAGAACCTTTGTCGGCTGGCTAGGTCACATACACTTGAAAGGGAGAAGGGAAGGGTGATGAATAAAAAGGATGAGAAAGTGTGCATCTGATTTTTTCCGAAGATAGCTGAGGTAGGGGAAGGCTGGATACTACTTGTTTCCACAATGCTCTTATACTGGAGATGGAGAGGAGTTCAAATGTTGCTTTACAGGCAGAACAGAGAAGGGGAACGAGAATACAAGTCAGGCGCTCGAGGCAAGAGCTGGAGACAGCAGTAAAGGGAAAGAGATAACACAAAATTACAAAGAAAAGTAAATTAAAGCAAACCTGAGCCTATCGATAAAATCAAAAAAAAAAAAAAACGAAAAAAAACTGGGCCTATTTGTCCTGTAAAAACTCGTCTTCATTAAGGGTTTTCCCATTTATGAAGCAGATGCCTAAGTAAAGATGTGAACGAATAAGTTCCATTGTAGAATTTGAACTAAGCAAAAATAAGGGTAGACTACGTGCATGGGGATGGTGCTGGCCTTTGCCTGTGTGAAGTTTTGGCGGCAAAAAACAGCTCTAAATGTGCGGAATTGTGTGGAATGTGCGGAAAATGTGCGGAATTTTTGTATAAATCCAGTCGAATCTGTTCTCTCTCAGTTTCATCTGAACACCAGCTTCATAGATAGGGACGCCTCCTACTGAAAGCGGGTTTTTATAAGACAGTTTCTACTCGCATAAGCTCAGTTTTTATTTGTTTTGCTTTTTTGCTTTTGTTCATAGGTTCCAATTCTTTGACTTTGCTTTTTTCCCACTTTTTTTCCCATAAGTTTAGGGTTGCTTTAATTTACTTTTCTTTGTTCTCTCCTCTTTACTGCTGTTTCTAACTGCCTCGAACTCCTGACTGGCATCCCTGTTCGTCTCCTCCATCTTCTCCTCAATTCCTACCTCCAATTTGAAATATTCGGGCAGAACGAATACACAGTCGCACAACACGATTTCCCTTCTTGCCGACTGTTATAGCCCGGACAGCGTTGCAACACCTAAAAAAGCACATAAATCAGTAGAAATAAGAACTGTCTGACAAAGTGCAACCCAGGCAGCAGCTTGTACCAAGGTTTTGCAATGCCACCATTTGTTTTTGCTCTAATCATGAAGCAGACCGATCATCAGCAGTACAAGTGGTTGTTGCTTTATAGTTGAAAATGTGCACTGCTGACAATTTTTAGATGGGAAAAAGGAGCTGGCTGGGCTGGTGTTTTGCACTGTGGGCTTGTGTGAAATCTCAGCCCCCAACATTATATTGAAAAGAGTTCGCCAGAGTCTTGTGAATTTCCCGGATGTATATATAT